AAAATTTCTGGGAGTCTCTCCTCCCCGTGGGCCAGGCCTCGATAATTCTCGCCCAACTCTCGCTCTTCTGCTTCCAATCTCCGCCATTCAGCTCCTCATTCGGCTTGACCCAGTCGAAGCTCTGCCTCCACTGTTGCCAAGTCCACCCACTCTGCTCCTCACTAGGCTGCTTGGTCCAGTTCTGGTGGTTTCTTCTGTCACGAACGTAAGGGAGAGACCAAGGCGCAGCGTTGAATGCGTACATATTTATTAATAGAATGATCACACGATCAAAACAACGGACGATAACGTGATGTCTACGGTTTAACACAAACCAAACAAGAACAAGAAACCACAAACACAAAGTGAAAGACAGACAGTTAAATATGGCTCCCAATCAGAGACAACCAGCTGACACTCGTTGCCTCTGATTGGGAGTCACTCAGGCCAACATAGAAATACAAACATAGAATTACACACCCTGGCTCAACATAAGTGTCCCCAGAGCCAGGGCGTGACAACCTGTAACTTCTTCTTTAAGAGGATCCTCTGTCCTCCACTCGTTACCTGTATTAATGGCACCTGTTTTAACTTGTTATCAGTATAAAAGACACCTGTCCACAACCTCAAACAGTCACACTCCAAACTCCACTATGGCCAAGACCAAAGAGCTATCAAAGGACACCAGAAACAAAATTGTAGACCTGCACCAGGCTGGGAAGACTGAATCTGCAATAGGTAAGCAGCTTGGTTTGAAGAAATCAACAGTGGGAGCAATTATTTGGAAATGGAAGACATACAAGACCACTGATAATCTCCCTCGATCTGGGGCTCCACGCAAGATCTCACCCCGTGGGGTCAAAATGATCACAAGAACGGTGAGCAAAAATCCCAGAACCACACAGGGGGACCTAGTGAATGACCTGCAGAGAGCTGGGACCAAAGTAACAAAGCCTACCATCAGTAACACACTACGCCGCCAGGGACTCAAATCCTGCAGTGCCAGACGTGTCCCCCTGCTTAAGCCAGTACATGTCCAGGCCCGTCTGAAGTTTGCTAGAGTGCATTTTGATGATCCAGAAGAGGATTGGGAGAATGTCATATGGTCAGATGAAACCAAAATATAACTTTTTGGTAAAAACTCAACTCGTCGTGTTTGGAGGACAAAGAATGCTGAGTTGCATCCAAATAACACCATACCTACTGTGAAGCATGGGGGTGGAAACATCATGCTTTGGGGCTGTTTTTCTGCAAAGGGACCAGGACGACTGATCCGTGTAAAGGAAAGAATGAATGGGGCCATGTATCGTGAGATTTTGAGTGAAAACCTCCTTCCATCAGCAAGGGCATTGAAGATGAAACGTGGCTGGGTCTTTCAGCATGACAATGATCCCAAACACACCGCCCGGGCAACGAAGGAGTTGCTTCGTAAGTAGCATTTCAAGGTCCTGGAGTGGCCTAGCCAGTCTCCAGATCTCAACCCCATAGAAAATCTTTGGAGGGAGTTGAAAGTCTGTGTTGCCCAGCGACAGCCCCAAAACATCACTGCTCTAGAGGAGATCTGCATGGAGGAATGTGTCACGATCGTTGAACGGAGTAGACCAAGGCGCAGCGTGATGAGCGAACATACTTTATTATATTTAGTGATAATGCGAACAAAACAATAAACGAACAACGTGACGTCCTAGGTTAAACAACCAACACGGAACAAACCAAAAGGAACAAGATCCCACAACTACTGTGGGAAAACAGCCTGTTTAAATGTGGTTCCCAATCAGAGACAACCAGCAACAGCTGACACTCGTTGCCTCTGATTGAGAACCACACTGGCCAACATAGAAATGAAACAACTAGAACTATAACACAGAACACAAACACATAGAATCTACACACCCTGGCTCAACATATAGAGTCCCCAGAGCCAGGGTGTGACAGAATGGGCCAAAATACCAGCAACAGTGTATGAAAACCTTGTGAAGACTTACAGAAAACGTTTGACCTGTGTCATTGCCAACAAAGGGTATATAACAAAGTATTGAGAAACTTTTGTTATTGACCAAATACTTATTTTCCACCATAATTTGCAAATAAATTCATTAAAAATCCTACAATGTGATTTTCTGTGTACCTATGATGAAAATTACAGGCCTCTCTCATCTTTTTAAGTGGGAGAACTTGCACAATTGGTGGCTGACTAAATACTTTTTTTCCCCACTGTACTATTAAATGTATAGACTGATCATTTCTTTGTCAGTGGGAAAACGTACAAAATCAGCAGGGGATCAAATACGTTTTTCCCTCACTGTATCTTCTGATGCAGATACTGTATCACTGAACCAACAGGGGTATTCAATATAATACCAACATAATTCTACTTTGAAAATTTAGTGGACATTTCAAGTTAATGTCACTCCTCACTGAGGGGAATCAAGACATTACACAATGGCGTTTGGCTATACAGTGAGGGAAAAAAGTATTTGATCCCCTGCTGATTTTGTACGTTTGCCTACTGACAAAGAAATGATCAGTCTATAATTTTTATGGTAGGTTTATTTGAACAGTGAGAGACAGAATAACAACAACAAAATCCAAAAAAATGCATGTCAAAAATGTTATAAATTGATTAGCATTTTAATGAGGGAAATAAGTATTTGACCCCTCTGCAAAACATGATTTAGTACTTGGTGGTAAAACCCTTGTTGGCAATCACAGAGGTCAGACGTTTCTTGTAGTTGGCCACCAGGTTTGCACACATCTCAGGAGGGATTTTGTCCCACTCCTCTTTGCAGATCTTCTCCAAGTCATTAAGGTTTCAAGGCTGACGTTTGGCAACTCGAACCTTCAGCTCACTCCACAGATTTTCTATGGGATTAAGGTCTGGAGACTGGCTAGGCCACTCCAGGACCTTAATGTGCTTCTTCTTGATTCACTCCTTTGTTGCCTTGGCCGTGTGTTTTGGGTCATTGTCATGCTGGAATACACATCCATGACCCATTTTCAATGCCCTGGCTGAGGGAAGGAGGTTCTCACCCAAGATTTGACGGTACATGGCCCCGTCCATCGTCCCTTTGATGCGGTGAAGTTGTCCTGTCCCCTTAGCAGAAAAACACCCCAAAGATAATGTTTCCACCTCCATGTTTGACGGTGGGGATGGTGTTCTTGGGGTCATAGGCAGCATTCCTCCTCCTCCAAACACGGCTAGTTGAGTTGATGCCAAAGAGCTCCATTTTGGTCTCATCTGACCACAACACTTTCACCCAGTTCTCCTCTGAATCATTCAGATGTTCATTGGCAAACTTCAGAAGGGCATGTATATGTGCTTTCATGAGCAGGGGGACCTTGCGGGCGCTGCAGGATTTCAGTCCTTCACGGCGTAGTGTGTTACCAATTGTTTTCTTGGTGACTATGGTCCCAGATGCCTTGAGGTCATTGATAAGATCCTCCCGTGTAGTTCTGGGCTGATTCCTCACCGTTCTCATGATCATTGCAACTCCACGAGGTGAGATCTTGCATGGAGCCCCAGGCCGAGGGAGATTGACAGTTCTTTTGTGTTTCTTCCATTTGCGAATAATCGCACCAACTGTTGTCACCTTCTCACCAAGCTGCTTGGCGATGGTCTTGTAGCCCATTCCAGCCTTGTGTAGGTCTACAATCTTGTCCCTGACATCCTTGGAGAGCTCTTTGGTCTTGGCCATGGTGGAGAGTTTGGAATCTGATTGATTGATTTCTTCTGTGGACAGGTGTCTTTTATACAGGTAACAAGCTGAGATTAGGAGCAATCCCTTTAAGAGTGTGCTCCTAATCTCAGCTCGTTACCTGTATAAAAGACACCTGGGAGCCAGAAATCTATCTGATTGAGAGGGGGTCAAATACTTATTTCCCTCATTAAAATGCAAATCAATTTATAACATTTTTGACATGTGTTTTTCTGGATTTTTTTGTTGCTATTCTGTCTCTCACTGTTCAAATAAACCTACCATTAAAATTATAGACTGATCATTTCTTTGTCAGTGGGCAAACGTACAAGCAGGGGATCAAATACTTTTTCCCCTCACTGTAGCGCTGTGACGACCACGCACATCCTGTGGGTAGCTGTAGGCTTAGGTTGTTTACAGGAACACATTAGCAATTTCTACCAAGCGTGGGGTTTATTTCCTACAGTTTAGTCTTTTGTTTCACTTAGTTTTGGTGCCTATAGAGATGATATGTAAATAATCATTACACCCTTGGTCAGTATCTGATGAACTTTATTTTTCATGTATTTTCATGACAACATTGGATGAGCAGGAGATTTGTGCAGTTACAGCCGAACAAGTAACAAGTTTGGCCAACACCTGTGAAAGAGAGAAGTTATATTTAGTAAAGTGAAAAACAGCAGTAAGCAACTATTCTTGGTGAATTACTTATACAGAAGAAAACTATGGAGGATTTACACTACCGTTCAAAAGTTTGGGGTCACTTAGAAATGCCCTTGTTTTCCAAAGAAAAGCTGCTTTTTTTGTCCATTAAAATAACATCAAATTAATCAGAAATACAGTGTAGACATTGTTAATGTTGTAAATGGCTATTGTAGCTGGAAACGGCAGATTTTTAATGGAATATCTACATAGGCGTACAGAGGCCCATTATCAGCAACCATCAGTCCTGTGTTCTAATGGCCGAACAAGTAACAGCTGAAAACTGTTGTGCTAATTGCAAAAGGGGTTTCTAATGATCAATTAGCCTTTTAAAATGCTAAACTTGGATTAGCAAACACAACGTGCCATTAGAACACAGGACTGATGGTTGCTGATAATGGGCCTCTGTAAGCCTATTTAGATATTCCATTAAAAATCAGCCGTTTCCAACATGAATAATGTCTACACTGTATTTCTGATCAATTTGATGTTATTTTAATGGTAAAAAAAAAAGCTTTTCCTTCGAAAACAAGGACATTTCGAAGTGACCCCAAACGTTTGAATGGTAGTGTAAATTAGATCATTCCAAAGGCAAATGCATTGTTGTTTAATTTTCCCTTAGGTATGATAACCATCTTCAGCCTACAAGGAGCTGTCCTGGCCATTGTGTCTGTGGCATCTCTCAGTGTCTTCTTCACTTTCTGTCTGTGGTGCAGGAGGAAAACCAGTGAGTGGCACTGTATTACAAATTATGACATTTATTACATATTTCCTAGGCTACATGTCACACTAATCAACCTGTACATCTACTCAAATATCATGAAATCCTCTTAAAGTAAAAATATATTTGTCATGTAGCACTTAAGCTAAATTAATATACTTCATTTGCTAGGTTGACTTGTGAAATAATTGTACAAAATCAATCAGTAGTGTGTTCCATTCAATAAAAGTGTCCCCCTTTTCCTTGGCTGTAGAAATAATACATGAAGAGAATCAAATTTATGACCCTCAAATATTGTAAGTATAACATTAACATAGATATTAAATAATTGATGCACTGTAAGACCAAGCATGATCTTATCGATATGGTGAAGAGTATTATAGATGAATGGTATAATACTGTATGTAATTCCTAATGTACAATTGTAATGTTCTATAATTCATAAAATAGCCGTTTCTATCCTAACATTACAGTTTTAACCAATGTTGTAAAACAATTTAACCTCACTATTGGCTACTATATGACAATATAAATTTTCATCACGTAACTCTGCCCACTCCACAGCCATCGCGAAGGTAGCAGATTTGCAGTAATGCGATCTAAAACAGGTAAAATTACATTGTGATTCATCATACCCTTTGGGGCGGATTCCCGGACAGAACTAGCCTTATTCTACTTTAATTAATACAGAATAAAAAATTCAAAAAGGATTTCACAAGTGGCTTCATTATTGTGAATTCTCTTCTCATAGTGAATGACTGAATGAATCTATTTAATATGGTGATGGTTGTTCTTTATGGCTATCGTGTGCTGATCAACAGTAAATGCTATGTTCTCACTACTGAATCCTTCTTGAATCTCTTGGGCTTTTCTAGTCACACGACCCAACCAGATTGTAAGAGACCTGCCTCCAACACCAGTGTAAGTAGGCTACTCATACATTTAGGTCTTATGCCCATCCTGCTTTTGTCTTGTTCCAACACGACAGCTGGGTAACAAAATATATACTTGTATAAATATTTTATACAAGCAAACAAGAGTTTCTACAGTTGGAGAAAATCTAAAAGAGCATTGGAGTTTAGTTTTTAACTTCCAGCTCACACCTGTTGGTTGTCATGTGTGATGTAATGACCACAGACCCACTGGGCACACACTGGTTGAATCAATGTTGTTTCCACTCATTTCAACAAAATTACGTTGAACCAACATGGAATAGACATTGAATTGACGTCTGTGCCCAGTGGGGACTTACTCCCTGACCACATATTGTCTATGGTCTGTTTCTTCCTTAGGTGGCCCAACAGATATGCAACACTCACAATAAATAATTTAAATGTAATTTATTTTTACAGGGAAAAAACACCACAAGGTAGGTTTTATTTAATTCTTAATGTCCAGCAGACCTTTCCATCCACTTACATGGGGTCAGTGCCTAAAGAGTCTGTAGACAAAGCTTATAAACAAAACTGAACCATCTGGACCCAGAATTTGAACAGATTACAGATGTTTCAACATACAGGTAACTTCCCAAAAAAGGGAAACACCAACATAAAGTGTCTTAATAGGGCGTTAGGCTCCCACGAGCCAGAACAGCTTCAATGCACCTTGTCATAGATACAAGTGTCAGGAACTACAGTATATTGGAGGGATGTGACGCCAGTCTTCCACAATAAATTCCATCATTTGGTGTTTTGTTTATAGTGGTGGATGACGCTGTCACAGGTGCCACACCAGAATCTCCCATAACTGTTCAATTGGGTTGAGATCTGGTGACTGAGACGGCCATGGCATATGGTTTACATCGTTTTCATGCATTGCTCATCAAACCGTTCAGTGAGTGACCACTCGTGCCCTGTGGATGGGGGGATTGTCATCCTATGGGGGCATAGCCATGGTAGCCAAAATAATGGGCTGCCCAGCATTTTTTTACATGACCCTAAGCATGATGGGATGTTAATTGCTTAATTAACTTAGGAACCACACCTGTGTGGAACCACCTTCTTTGTATCCCTCATTTCCTCAAGTGTTTCCATTATTTTGGCAGTTACCAGTAGGTGTACTGTATGTGTGTATCTTTACAGTTGTGAATGAGGAGCAAGCGAAATATCAAAATGTTGTAACAGGTAAATATGATCTGTTAGTAATTGTATTAGGTATATATGAATGCCAAACATTTCCATTTTGGAAACACTGAGACCTTTCAATGTGGAAACAGTATCACTAATTCACTACAGCTTCAGCCTGCACCAAATTCCTCAGCACTAACTAAGACTTTTCAATTGTGTTATATTAGCTCAGATGGGAAGCATTGAACCAACATATGTGTAAGTATCTATCAATGCTTGATTTCCATTTCAAACATAATATTCTGTATAGTCTACTTACAATTAATCTGTATTTTAGTTTCTGTGAAAAATAATACATGTGCTTATTGTTTTTACAGAGATCCAATCCCAGCGTTAGTGTACCAGAATGTTAATGAGAGTACAAATGCAGAAACGGGTAAGTATGATTTATCCAATGATGTGAATACAGTATGTAGGCATATGTCTATGGTTTATCAGACAGAACCAGATGGAATAAAAAAGAAAAACTCAAAACGAACAAATAAACAACCCCCGTCCCTCTCGCCCACTCCCTGGGCCTTTTTATTAACCCAAAACATAAGGAAAAGAAAGATGGGAAGCCCCACCATTGATGCATTTTGATCAGTAGCCATTTACTGTAAAAAAAAAAAAAAAAAAAAAAAGGCAGAGAGGGACGGGGGTTGATATCCACTCAAATAATGTAATCTGTTGCAGTTGAAAGTAATGTCACGCTTCAGCTAAAACCACATTATCAAAAGGTACAGGCAACAATACATGGCAGTCTACATACAGTCACACAATCTAACATCCCCTCAAGACAAGCGTAGTAACTTATTCGTATGTGTTCTGATTGTCACTTGCCAGAAATGTAAGTATAATTTGATAAAAACACATTTCTACTTTCTAGATGGTGATCAATATGAGAATGTTTTTCCATCTATTGATACAATCAGCCGTGACTCTGGTATGTACTTTAAAATGAATAAATGTAATCCTTCCTTTGAAAATAGTAATTTATGAAGATCATTTTGTTTTTAGAAAAGTTAATTGCCTACTTGGAGTAGATTTCTTATTTTATGTTGAACTAAGATTATTTTCCCCCACCTCACAACAGATGGATCAGATTACGAGAACTCTGAATTCCTGGCGCAAGTGAAGATGGGGTTAGAGGATGGTAAGTCACCATAATGCTTTATAACGAAGAGAACACTTCTGCTATGAACGTAGGATGAATGCACTAATTGTAAGTCGCTATGGATAAATGACTAAAATGTAATGAACTAGGAATTGAGACTTCTACTCTCGTCACAGATGAACCAGATTATGTGAACGACACTGACTGATATGGAAACTACATGCTCTACGAGTAGATGTCTATGGGAATGGACTTTCTCACGATCTTTGCTGAGATGCTTGGATAAATGTTAAGTGATAATATGTATGTCAATGTGCTATAACAGAGCAATGCCATTTTAGGGTAAACACCCAAAATGTTATTACTTCATCATGAATTCCCTTGAGTCAAAAAATGTGAGGAACCATGTACAGCAGGGATGGGCAACTGGCAGCCCACGGATCAATTTCCAAAACTCAGTCGGGGTCTCAATTTACAGTTGAGAGAATAGCAGAATACACAAGGTGCACTTTCGAAATGTGCAGTTGTGCATCACCAGTTATGTCAGTCACTCAATTAGCTCATGTCAGCTAACATTTTTTAGATTGGTAAATTAGACTAGCGGCCAGCCATCTAAACATGTAGTAATCATGTTCGAATTACTGACTTGGGCCCCCATTGATAATCAGTTATCATATTAAAATGTCTCTACCCTATGGCAAAATGTGTAGAATTGCAGAAAATTCGCATGAAAACGGCTACTTTTTCGCCCCCCCCCCCCATGGAAAAATTAGTAGAATAACATGAAATTAACTCTAAAACGTAATTTGTCCCCGTTCTGTCAAGGTGGGGCAAAACATTTTTGCTCACAAGGTGGGGGGAGGGGCGCAACAAAATGTTGCTTACGCACCCAAAAAGGCTAGGGCCGGCTCGGACTACATGTGTGGTGGGTACACAGACCCGGCGAGCCACAGCAGCCCCTCGTGAGGAGTTCCGATTTTTGTGGCCCCGACCCCCATCAATGTTGACCATCCCTGATGTAGAGTATTTTTCATTGTTTGAGTGTTACTGTGTAACTGTCACCATCTAGTGGTACAAAATTAATACAAGAGACAGCTCAGAATGTTTTTAAAAATGTAGATAACATCTGTCTGTATTAATAAATCCTTACTACAAAACCTTTAAATGTACAACCTCTTTATAGACCAATGTGTTCAGTAAGTCAAGTCATAATGAAACATTGATTTATTACAAAAGTGAGTAGTATTTACATTATAAAATACAAATGTATTTAATCCAGAAATGTTTCAACATCAAACAACTCCCCAGGACTCTGAGTCAGAGTAATTATGGGGGCGTCACTCAGATTGGTGGAAGCAGTGTGGTGTTCAGGAACGAAATGCAAGAAACTGCACTGAAACAGGGAAGGACAACCTGGACATGCTCAATACGTAACGCTCATTTATGTTTTCTGTTACAAAATGTTTTGTTTTCCTAATGAACACAACCCAGGAGAGAAAGAGACAGAGAGGAGAGAGACAGGAGGGAGGAGAGACAGACAGACGGGGGAGGAGAGACAGACAGGAGGGAGGGAGGAGAGACAGACAGACGGGAGGAGAGACAGACAGGAGGGAGGGAGGAGAGAGACAGGAGGGAGGGAGGAGAGAGACAGAAGGGAGGGAGGAGAGACAGACAGGAGGGAGGAGAGACAGACAGTGCTGAGATGACGGGTGGAAGCATGGGTGCGGTGTTAGCTGGGATCAGGGGTGGCCGTCTTGCTGCACAGTCGACCCAGGAGGCCTGCCATCTGCAGTAGTGAGTTCACGCCCTCCGCCACCTTCATGTGGGTGTATCCTATCTCCTGAGAAAAGGAACAATACCAAGTAAACAAGGAGAGCGATGCCGAGGCAAAATTGATTAATATTATGGTGTGGCTTACTTTCCTATGCCAAGTTTGGCACTTTTCTGCCATTCTGTTATACCCAACTAAGATGAGGAACATGAGGAAACATAGAAAAGGATCTGACATAACCAGACATGTACATAATGTACAGTGAGCAACAAAAGTATTGGGACAGTTGTTGGTTTTGGCTCTATACTCCAGCACTTTGGATTTGAGGTTAAAGTGCAGACTGTCAGCTTTAATTTGAGGGTATTTTCATTCATATTGGGTGAACCGTTTAGAAATTACAGCACTTTTTGTACATAGTCGCATTTTAGGGGAGAAATTCACTTGTCTATTAAAGTAGTAAAAAGTTCAGTATTTGGTCCCACATACATCAAGCTTGTGACTCTACAATTTGTTGGATGCATTTGCTGTTTGTGTTTCAGATTACTTTGTGCCCAATAGAAATGAATGGTAAATGTATTGTCTCATTTCGGAATCACTTATTGTAAATAAGAATTGAATGTTTCTAAACACTTTACATTAATGTGGATGCTACCATGATTACGGATAATCCTGAATGAAATGTGAATAATGATGAGTGAGAAAGATGCACAAATACAGTGGGGAAAAAAGTATTTAGTCAGCCACCAATTGTGCAAGTTCTCCCACTTAAAAAGATAAGAGAGGCCTGTAATTTTCATCATAGGTACACGTCAACTATGACAGACAAAATGAGAAAAAAAATTCCAGAAAATCACATTGTAGGATTTTTAATGAATTTATTTGCAAATTATGGTGGAAAATAAGTATTTGGTCAATAACTAAAGTTTCTCAATACTTTTATATACCCTTTGTTGGCAATGACACAGGTCAAACGTTTTCTGTAAGTCTTCACAAGGTTTTCACACACTGTTGCTGGTATTTTGGCCCATTCCTCCATGCAGATCTCCTCTAGAGCAGTGATGTTTTAGGGCTGTCGCTGGGCAACACGGACTTTCAACTCCCTCCAAAGATTTTCTATGGGGATGAGATCTGGAGACTGGCTAGGCCACTCCAGGACCTTGAAATGCTTCTTACGAAGCCACTCCTTCGTTGCCCGGGCGGTGTGTTTGGGATCATTGTCATGCTGAAAGACCCAGCCACGTTTCATCTTCAATGTCCTTGCTGATGGAAGGAGGTTTTCACTCAAAATCTCACGATACATGGCCCCATTCATTCTTTCCTTTACACGGATCAGTCGTCCTGTTCCCTTTGCAGAAAAACAGCCCCAAAGCATGATGTTTCCACCCCCATGCTTCACAGTAGGTATGGTGTTCTTTGGATGCAACTCAGCATTCTTTGTCCTCCAAACACGACGAGTTGAGTTTTTACTAAAAAGTTCTATTTTGGTTTCATCTGACCATATGACATTCTCCCAATCCTCTTCTGGATCATCCAAATGCACTCTAGCAAACTTCAGACGGGCCTGGACATGTACTGGTTTAAGCAGGGGGACACATCTGGCACTGCAAGATTTGAGTCCCTGGCGGCGTAGTGTGTTACTAATGGTAGGCTTTGTTACTTTGGTCCCAGCTCTCTGCAGGTCATTCACTAGGTCCCCCCGTGTGGTTCTGGGATTTTTGCTCACCGTTCTTGTGATCATTTTGACCCCACGGGGTGAGATCTTACGTGGAGCCCCAGATCGAGGGAGATTATCAGTGGTCTTGTATGTCTTCCATTTCCTAATAGTTGCTCCCACTGTTGATTTCTTCAAACCAAGCTGCTTACCTATTGCAGATTCAGTCTTCCCAGCCTGGTGCAGGTCTACAATGTTGTTTCTGGTGTCCTTTGACGCTCTTTGGTCTTGGCCATAGTGGAGTTTGGAGTGTGACTGTTTGAGGTTGTGGAGAGGTGTATTTTATACTGATAACAAGTTCAAACATGGCTTCCATTAATACAGGTAACGAGTGGAGGACATAGGAGCCTCTTAAAGAAGAAGTTACAGGTCTGTGAGAGCCAGAAATCTTGCTTGTTTCTAGGTGACCAAATACTTATTTTCCACCATAATTTGCAAATAAATTCATTAAAAATCCTACAATGTGATTTTCTGGATTTTTTTTCTCAATTTGTCTGTCATAGTTGACGTGTACCTATGATGAAAATTACAGGCCTCTCATCTTTTTAAGTGGGAGAACTTGCACAATTGGTGGCTGACTAAATACTTTTTTTCCCCCACTGTATCATACTCCCAAGACATGCTAACCTCTCACCATTCAATAACAGGGGAGATTAGCATTTTATTTTTGAGCTCACTGTACAACTGCAAATGTTTTACCATGTCTCTTACCTTGATGAACTCCAACTTGAGATACTCAGGCATCTGGAAAGTCTTACAAACTCTGAAGATGTTACCGATTATGTCCTCAGGGGAGTAACCCAGGGCCCACAGCTGATCAATAATCTAAGGGAGAGGTACACATTAATATTATCAGCTATATGATTATACTATATATTATAAACTGAGCAGTTATTGATCACTTTAATTAAGAACCATGTTTAAAGGCTAGAGAAATAAGTGTTATTCATTGACAGGAATATAATTATACTTATTCTGTCTTGATTGTTATTGAAAGTGGATTGCAATACCTTGTAAGCCTCATCTATGTTGGCGTTGACACAGTGTTCCAGCATGCTTTTCACCAACAGCGGGTGTGGCTCATCGCACACCTGAACAAAAACCAACAATGCTTTACTCGTCTTTCCTTTGAAACAGACCTACGCATTGTCAATTTCTTCTTCCTTCTAAAATGACTGAAAAAGACAGGTTAGGTAACAGAACCGTACCTTGAACACATTTTCGCTGTTGATGTAGCCAAAACCAGAATTTGTGGATTGTAGGTTATTCAGTGCCTGATGATGCAAAAAAAAGACAGCTCAAGTTATATATATAGTTTCACACATCTCAGCCAAACTTGAATTGGCCCCCCAGAAAGTACAGCCACTATGAGGAGCCATGGATCAGGGTTTCCGTTAGGAAAATGTGGCGCTGGACAACGTGACCGGGAAGGTTTTAATTTACCGGCCATTTGAAATTTACCGGACTCATTAGGGCGTCCACCCACTGTGCTCAGAATGACAGAAATCACATTTAGATTATGGTAATTCATCTTAACATCCTTTAATGAAGCAGCTAATAAAATGTAATTTTCAAACATTTGCCAAAATGCATTTCGCAGGAAAACATCATCCTCAACAGCGCACCTTATGCAAGCGGTTCCATATGTGACAGATGAAAATCTCCATTAGAAACTTAGAAAGAGGGGGACTCTAAAGATGCAACAACTAGGATGGGTTGCTAATATGACTACGATTGTGCCTTTGGCTTCTGGACGAAAGAAAGTTATGAAAACCAATAGAACAGGAGAGAAATGCTGGTTTCAATGGCATATGAGGAAGTCAATAAAATAATTGCCTCCACGTTTCTATGGTCGGATTGAAGCAAGGTAAGACATGCCTCATAATATGAAGTAAAACGTTCAGGTTTCAATCAATTAAGTATACATTTTCAAAATGCATACTGCCTCCAGCTCAAGTTGTAAAGTGGTGGGTGATGTGCTGATATCCTGCCTACCGTTGCCTATGCACCTGAATGGTGAATGGGAGGCGCGCTTCAATTACCAGTTGGGAAAGAAAAATAGTAGCTATTTAATCATGGTCATCAAAACTGTTTTTAACATACATTTAGAATTGTTGCGCAATAACGGGGCTGATAAAAGCATGTTTCACTCCAGCACCTAAAACCCTCACAAACCTTTACAGATGCACAATGGAGAGCATTCTGTCGGGCTGTATCACCACCTGGTACGGCAACTGCACCGCCTGCAACCGCAGGGCTCTCCAGAGGGTGGTGCGGTCTGCCGAACGCATTACCGGGGGCAAACTACCCCGCCCTCCAGGACACCTACAGCACCCGATGTCACAGGAAGGCCAAAAATATCATCAAGGACATCAACCACCCGAGCCACTGCCTGTTCACCACGCTATCATCCAGAAGGCGAGGTCAGTACAGGTGCATCAAAGCTGGGACCGAGAGAATGAAAAACAGCTTCTATCTCAAGGCCATCAGACTTAAATAGCCATCAATAGCACATTAGAGGCTGCTGCTGCCTATTTGAAAATCACTGGCCACTTTAAGAAATGGAACACTAGTCACTCTAATAATGTTTACATTACATATCTTGCACTACTCATCTCATATGTATATACTGTATTCTATTCTATAATATTCTACTGTGTCTTAGTCCATGCCACTCTGTCATTGCTTGTCCATATATGTATATATTCTTAAATTCCATTCCCTACTAGATTTGTGTGTATTGGGTATATGTTGTGAAATTGTTCGATATTACTTGTTAGATATTACTGCACTGACGGAGCTAGAAGCACAAGCATTTCACTACACCCGCTATAACATCTGCTAAACACGTGTATGTGACAAATAACATTTGATTTGAAAAAAGCAGCAAGGAGCTGAGGCGCTGCAGCTCTAGTGCTTTCTGACAAGTGATATTCCGCTCTGTATGCTGTCCGTGTGTGATAAATAAGATGCATGACAACTAACGAAAATAAACACGCCCCAATTTAATTCCGCCAAATGTTGCTTATTAATCAATTGACCGATAAGCTTGACAGTGAAATGTATTTACATTGACTGATATTTCCATCAATGAATAAAAAGCATTATTTTGCAATGGGGTTGTTTTTTTCTCCTGGTCAATTTGTCCGGCAACAAGCCGCAAACCCTCCCATGGATAGATATAGTGTTCAACAAACTTGATATTTTAAATGGGTAACTTGTTGACACCAAAACTTCCTAAGTCATTCCCAATCTAGTCGTAATGGGAACAAGAACGCTATTCTCATGGAACCTTTAGTGTCAACATGGAGGATTGGAGGACAGTTGGCCCTTTTCCCAACCTGTCTCATGTCTCCCTGGGCAGTGAAGATGATGGCCTCCAGGCCGTCGTTGCTGGTGACCAGGTTCTCCCTCTCCACTACCTCCAGCAGACGCATCATGATCTGCTCGTCCCTCAGCTTGGTGTAGCGAAGGACCGCACAACGTGACTGGATGGGCTCTATGAAGGAGGGGGCACAGCAACATGGAGGACCATCAGGACAGAGAAAAGACAAGTTGGTTTTGTAATGTGACCATCGCTTACATTTGGGTCCCTATTCAATACGACAGCATCATTGTATTGTAGGACCCTCACCGATGATCTTGTCGGAGGCGTTGCACGCCAGAGCGAAGCGTGTGGTTTTAGAGTAGATCTCCATGGTCCTCCTCAAGGCCTGCTGGGCTCCGTCTGTCATGCTGGAGACACAAGCACAGCCTTTACAGACACAGCCATTATAGGTACACTAGATCAGCTTAGCTGTCATGACCCTCAGTGGGTCTTACCTGTCAGCCTCATCCAGGATGATGATCTTGTGTCTGCCTTTAGGGAGGGTGACTTTTTGCTGGGCAAACATCTTGATCTTGTTTCGAACTACATCGATGCCTCTGAGGAAGATTGATGACAATGTGTTAGTGTAGGCTTCACTTTCTAAAGCAACAATGTGATTTTAACCCAAAATGCGGCTCCTGGAATCACAGGTGCACTTAAAGGAAAGACTCGCCCATTTATTTTATTTTATATCGTATTTGTGCATCCCTATGTAAGAATGCTGTTCATCAACTATAGCTCAGCCTTCAACACCATTGTGCCCACCAAGCTCATCACTAAGCTCAGGTCCCTGGGTCTGAACCCCTCCCTGTGCAACTGGATCCTGGACTTCCTGACGGGCCGGCCCCAAGTGGTGAAGGTAGGCAACAACACCTCCACCAAGCTGATTCTCAACATGGGGGCGCGTGCCCAGCTGCCTGCTATACTCCCTGTTCACCCATGACTGTGTGGCCACGCACGTCTCCAACTCAAATCATCAAGTTTGCTGACGACACAACAGTGGTAGGCCTGGCTGATTACCAACGACAAAACAGCCTACAGGGAGGAGGTGAGTGCTTTGGCGGAGTGCTGCCAGGAAAATAACCTCTCCCTCAACGACAACAAAAAGGAAGGAGCTGATCGTGGACCATCCACATCCACGGGGCCTCAGTGGAGAGCGTCAAAAGCTTCAAGTTCCACGGCGTGCATATCACTGACGAACTGAAATGGTCCCTTCACACAGATAGTGAAGAAGGTACAACAGCGCCAATTCCGCTTGGCCCCTAAGACCCTCACGACCTCTAGCAAGGCACTATTGAGAGCATCCTGTCGGGCTGTATCGCCGCCTGGTACGGCAATTGCACCGTCCGCAACTGCAGGGCTCTCCAGAGGGTGGTGCGGTCAGCCCAACGCATCGTCAGGGGCACACTGCCTGCCCTCCAGGACATCTACAGCACCCAGTGTCACAGGAAGGCCAAGAAGATCATCAAGGACCCCAGCCACCCAAGTCTAGGCCTGTTCACCCCACTACCATCTAGAAAGTAGAGACAGTACAGGTGCATCAAAGCTGTGACCGAGGCTATCTCCAGGCCATCAATTTGTTAAACAGTCACCACTAGCCGGCCTCCGCCCAGTGTGCCCTGCCCTGAACTTCAGACACTGTCACTACACAGCTACCACCCGGTACTCTACCCTGCACCTTAGAGACCGCAGCCCTATGTACAAAGTCATTGAACACTGGTCTCATTAATAATGTTTACATACTGTTTTACCCACTTTATTTGTATACTGTATTCAAGTCATGGCTCATCCTATATACCTACTGCTATACACACACCCTTTCTATTCACATAATGTCCATACACACCATTCACATACACCGAATGCACAAAACATTGGGAACACATTCCTAATCTTGAGTTGCACCCCCTTTTGCCCTCAGAACAGCCTAAATTTGTCAGGGCATGGACTCTACAAGGTGTTGAAAGCATTTCACAGGGATGTTGGCCCATGTTGACTCCAATGCTTCCCAGTTGGCTGGATGTCCTTTGGGTGGTGGACCATTCTTGTTACACACGGGAAACTGTTGAGCATGAAAAACCCAGCAGCGTTGCAGTTCTTGACACAAACCGGTGCGCCTGGCACCTGCTACCATACTCCGTTCAAAGGCACTTACATTTTTTGTCTTGCCCATTCACCCTCTGAATGACAGACATACACAATCCATGTCTCAATTGTCTCAAGGCTTTAAAATAATTATTTAACCTGTCTCCTCCACTTCATCTACACTGATTGAAGTGGATTTAACAAGTGACATCAATAAGGGATCATAGTTTTCACCTGGATTTATCTGGTCAGTCTGTCATGAAAAGGTCCTTAAGCTAATTCCTGCAGTTCCATCCATTTTGCTATGGGGTTTTGTACTGTGTATTTATATACTGTATTCTCGAAAGCTCATTCTAATATTTCTACTACTCTACATTGCATTTTAGTTACACTGTTTATACACACACACCGCATATTTATTGATATACTGGATTTTTGACATGGCTCACTAATATATTTATTTAATTTAACTAGGCAAGCCAGTTAAGAACAAATTCTTATTTACAATGACGGCCTATATATACCGCTGTACATATAATTCCTAGTAAATCTTGTGTAAATTCATTCGGTGTAGATACGTATAGATTGCATTTGGATTACTGTTACAGTGCTATTTGTGTTGTTGATTGGATTCGTTCGGACATTTATTTTAACTTTTTGGATTATATGTGCATTGTTTTGTATTGCTAGGTATTCATTTTTGATTGATAGGATTTATTTAAGCCCATATAGGATTACAAGACACTACTAGCACTAGTATTAGTACTACACTGTTGGAGCTAGAAACACAAGCATTTCGCTGCACCTGAGATAACATCTGCAAATCTATGTACGCGACCAATACACTTTGATTTGATCTCTGAGCGATGTTCTATTGATTCCCGGGGTCATTTCATGGTTTTACGTGTATCAGCTATTCGCCGTTCAACCAGGCAGAAATACAGCTAGTATAATGATGAAAAACGCACCATCCCGGCTGTATTTCTACCTGCTTGAACCGAGAATAGCTCAGATACACATAAAAACATGAAATGACCCCTGGAATATATAGAACATCGCTCAGATGTGCACAAATACGATATAACATTCAAAATGGGTTAATCTTTCCTTTAAGTATGCCAGTGTGACATTTTTCATGGCAGACATCACTTGCTCTCACCTGTCATTGGAAGCATTCAGTTCCAGGACAGCATCTTTCATGGCTGGGCCTAGAAGAGCTCGCGCCAAACACAGAATACTGGTGGTCTTTCCTGTACCGGGGGGACCCTAAAATAACAATAGTTATGTTTAAAAAGAGGTCCCATATGAAAGATGGCATAACTTGCATACAATTACTCCGCTGCACCAACATGTCAGTTTGTAATATCAAATAGTTATGATGAAAGAATGAATTGTGTCAGTCACTCACTGCAATAATGATGTTGGGTACATTTCCCTCTCTGGCAAACACCTGTAAGAGAGAAGGGAAAAACAAATCATACAGTTGGCTATTATTTAGCAAGAAATGTATTGAAACTATGTAACTTAAAATATTGAGGATACTTTACCTCCAATCTGCTAACAGTCTCCTCGTTGCCTACTATTTCGTTCAACTTAAATGGTCTGTATTTTTCAACCCTGTGAGACATTCAGAACAAGCATAGCTATCAGCAACATTATGTCCCAACAGACTCGCTTAGTTGCCACCAAAGCTAATCAACAAGCAATTCATAGTGATTTACACAATTACTTGCACTAGTAGCGCTAGCTGTTGCTCCAATGAAATGCTTAGAACATAACATTACATAGCTAACTTTAGCGATCTGGTTAATTTTTGAGAGGCATGCAGAATCGGTTTGTTTTCATAGCTAATATTCATTACATAGCTATTAGCTAGCTACAATGCTAGGATCTTAGGTGGTGGAACTGTCGTAGTAAATATATAATGTTATAGCTTGGTCTGACTAAAATCTTGTGCATGACCCATTTTGTGTTGGGCCTTTGTATTCAATACAATGCACAAAAGCACAAAAGAGTCCTATCTTGTCAGCCTTATCAGCAGGTGGCTAAGGACAACACCCACGCCATAGGTCTCTCAGTTCTTCCAACTCACGAGTTCTTGCTCTGAGGACACACACACACACACCCCCACACACACACACACACACATACACACACACACACACACACATACACACACATACACACACATACACACACACACATACACACACATACACACACACACACACACACAAATCCTCTTCTCTTAGGCTGAACATCTGAAGACAGAGAACCCGACTCAGAGCCAATGCAACAGTGATACTAACCTGGAGGGGACCTCGCCCAACTCATCAGGACCAATCAGAAGATCAGAACTACTAGAATCAACCTACTTCATTTTATTGTATAAAATGTCAGCACACAATGTTTAGGGGCTCTCTCAGATATCTCCCTACGAGATTGACGAACGGGTCCGTGCACGCGATTCCAGATATCTTTACCTCTGAATAAACTGCCTTATATTATACAATTATCCACCTTGTCCAAAAGTCTCTACTTGGTCTCCGTTCTCCAGTAAACTTGTTTTATCAACAGAACTAAGACTTGAAACGTGAAGTTAATCGATCCCCGTCGAGGGAAGAGCTGATTTTTTGTATATGACAGTAAAACATTTTTATGATGACTATAACATTTGTTGGCACCTTCAATTCTTGCACATTTTCTCATAATAAGTGTATTTCAACACGGCTGCTCAGGCAAATTTGCCGAACTGCTAAACTTGGAACCAATCAGAACTCCCCTACATACCCCTTGTGATGAAGGCAGCCAATGGCCTGCTTCTATCTACAATGTAAACAGCCGCTTGTGAAAACACAAGCTGCTGTCTAAACAGAAACACCGATTGCTAGCTAGCTCCCAGACTGAAATAAGATAAATATTTGTTTGAGTGCACTTGAAATATGCAGCATGCAATACGAATTGTCTTGATCATATGAAGAGGTAATTCCGTTGACCATTTAGCCAATTTCATGAAAGTTAGCCAATGTTACAGACTAGTAGCTATTGTGAATGTCAATTTGTGTTTCATTAGCCATCGCTCTATCAGTGAATTAAATGGTTGAGTCATGTTTTGGCATGATTATACGTCTCATTTCAAGTAGCTAGCTGCAGGCTTAAAGAAACATTCAATCATATACTTTGCATAGAAACCCAAATAAAAGCATGTAGATAGATGCATGCTAGAATGGAGGTTTAAAAACGACAGCTGCATATGCATATCAGTCAATACATATGGTATAGCCTAGAAATATAACATATCTTGCAATCCAATCTTCGTTTGATTTCTAAACCAGATGAGTTCTCAAATAGCAGCTGCCCAATACCATCGTGGGCATGCATAATGTTGGATGCATTGGAATATAAGGTATGGAGAATGATAAAGAGCCTGTAGGATTATATACTGTAAAAGCAGTTGGGAAATGAATGTTTTAGTTTCAAATACTAAATGTTCAGTGAAATGTGAGTATATTTAAGTGGTGTCGATCAGGGTTTCCCGACCTCCCCTCCCCGGGTGCACGTTTTGGTTTTTGCCCTAGCATTACACAGCTGATTCAAATAATCAAAGCTTGATGGCGAGTTGGTTATTTGCATCAGCTGTGTAGTGCTAGGGCAAAAACCAAAACGTGCACCCAGGGAGGGCCCCAGGACAGAGTTTGGGAAACCCTGGTTTAGATTATTAACTTTCCTACTAACCTTCTAAAAGTTAACGGTACGTGCCAAAATCTTGCCAATCCATTCATTATTCTACTAACTATGACTGAGTGTGAGACATGTTTTCCGTAATGCATGTTTCATGCATATACATACAAATGCATCTACGAACAAAGACCACCATCACAAATAGTCTTTCATCATTTATTGAGTGCAGAGACAAATAGCAAAATGTGTCTCAGACAGTATTTGAAGTCTCTAAATATAGTGTAGCCAACCAATCAATCAATTGTCGTAGAGGGCACAATCTTACAATGTTGCAGTCCAGAAATGAGAACTTTATGATCTATGCCAAAAGCCTAGGCCTCTGATGGAGCCTGTCATCAACACATGCTCTAGGAGCTTGTGTGTGCCCAGGTCCCATAGGCATATCGAAAGGATTCCACCCTGGTCACCAATGTAGTTCACCGATGTAGAGAAAGACTTACATTACATTTGAGTCATTTAGCAGACGCTCTTATCCAGAGCGATTTACAGGTGGAACTAAGGCACAGACAGATGTTTCACCTAGTTGGCTTGGGGATTCGAAACAGGCAAATGCATGTGGTCTCAATGTTTAAATAGTGACGGCAGGGCTAGTTCAAACTGCAGTAGGATGGCTCTCTTCACAGGTGAATGAATCAGCCCATGCTTGGTGAATAGCACTTGGTTGATCTTTGGGAGTAGGATACGGGAGAGCTGAATAGATCATGTGAGACAAAAGTGAGAGACAAGAATGAATGAAAGAAATCATCACAGCAAAGGAAAGTAGTTTGTGAGCTAGAAAATGAACATCCTGACAGTCTGCTGCTCTGCAATCATCCTACTCCAACCATTGACAGGGATAATGTGGCATTTCATATTTGTCAGTATGAATGAAATGAGTGGGTCCTGCCTTGGTGACTGTAGTAGATTTACACTACTTGTCCTACAGATTTTTGTAGTCTTAAATTATTACTTGTAATAAACGGAAAGATAAAACGCTCCTTGTCCCGGAATGACATGCTAGCTAGTGATAAAGCTCTCTGCTCCCACTAGCTAGCAACACATCTACTTGTTGTAACTTGCAAGCTAGCTACATTATTAAATATAAAAACGCAACATGAAACAATTTCAAAGATTTTACTGAGTTTACAGTTCATATAAGGAAATCAGTCAATTTAAATAAATGTATTAGGCCCTAATCTATGGATTTCACATGACTGAGAATACAGATATGCATCTGTTGGTCACAGACACCTTAAAAAAAAAAGGTAGGGGTGTGGACCAAAAAAAGTCAGTATCTGGTGTGACCACCATTTGCCTCATGCAGTGCGACATCTCCTTCGCATAGAGTTGATCAGGCTGTTGATTGTGGCCTGTGGAATGTTGTCCCACTCGTCAATGGCTGTACGAAGTTTCTGGATATTGGCGGGAACTGGAACACGCTATCGTACACGTCGATCCAGAGCATCCCAAACATGCTCAATGGGTGACATGTCTGGTGAGTATCCAGGCCATGGATGAACTGGGACATTTTCAGCTTCCAATAATTGTCTACAGATCCTTGCGACATGTGGCCGTGCATTATCATGCTGAAACATGAGGTGATGGCTACGGATGAACGGTACAGGATCTCGTCACGGTATCTCTGCATTCAAATTGCCATCGATAAAATGCAATTGTGTTCGTTGTCCGTAGCTTATGCCTGCCCATACCATAACCCCACCATGGGGCGCTCTGTTCACAACGTTGACATCAGCAAACCGCTCGCCCACACAACACCATACACGCTGTCTGTCATCTGCCCGGGGCAGTTGAAACCGGGATTCATCCGTGAAGAGGACACTTATCCAGCAGCCATCGAAGGTGAGCATTTGCCCACTGAAGTCGGTTACGACGCCTAACTGCAGTCAGGACGACGAGCACGCAGATGAACTTCCCTGAGACTGTTTATTTCGTTGTGCTAACCCACAGTTTCATCAGCTGTCCGGGTGGCTTGTCTCAGACGATCCCACAGGTGAAGAAGCCGGATGTGGAGGTCCTGGGTTGGCGTGGTTACACGTGGTCTGCGGTTATGAAGCCGGTTGGACGTACTGAAATTCTCTAAAACGACGTTTGAATTAACATTCAATTCTCTGGCAACGGCTAGGGTGGACATTCCTGCAGTCAGCATGCCAATTGTACGCTCCCTCAAAACTTGAGATATCTGTGGCATTGTGTTGTGTGACAAAACTGCACATTTTAGAGTGGCCTTTTATTGTCCCCAACACAAGGTGCACCTGTGTAATGATCATGCTGTTTAATCAGCTTCTTGATATGCCACACCTGTCAGGTGGATGGATAATTTTGGCAATGGAGAAATACTCACTAACAGGGATGTAAACAGATTTGTGCACAACAGTTTAGAGAAATAAGCTTTTTGTGTGAATGGAAAATTTCTGGGATTTGTTATTTCAGCTCATGAAATATGGGGCCAACACTTAACATGCTGCGTTTATATTTTTGTTCAGTGTAAATAGTTAATTACAAATAAATAAAAATGACCTACCTGATAGCAGTTTCTCGAGATGCCACCAGCTGTCTACTACCTTCGATATGGATAACGTGATTGGCAGACGTGATCAACAGAGATACTACCATGGATATTACACGAGTTTTGATTGGTTTACAGTTTAGTAGTCGGTGGCGTTTGCCTGTCCAACTAGCGAACATAAAAACAAGTATTTTGAAAAGAATGCTAGAATTTACATTGCCAACAAACAGAAGTGTTTAGAATAAATAAATATACACAATATGTAAAAACCATCTCTTCCCTCGACAGAGCTCGAAAACTAAAATAGCTAACGTTAGCTTGATCCTGCCCACCACCTATCTGTACTCAAATAACCATTAGCACTACTAGCTAGCCGTGATGAGCCATTTGAGTCGGCTAATAAATACAAATATACTGCAACTAACTAGCTTTTAAACCTTACCATGGCAGCTCATATCCATTGCTAGACACTTTCGCAGTGGCCTCATCTTTCTTCAGTTGAACTTCTGTTTGAATTTGGTCAGAATCTGCCTCATTCATCGCCACGTCCATGTTTTCGGCTGCAGTTCTTCCCGCCACGACAGAAACCAAACTGCTGGCGCTAAACTGACGTCATTTCCTTGACGATGCGAGCCGTCCTCCATCAGTAGATTTTTTGCCAACCAGTTGTATGGCCAGACATCGAACAACACAGTGGACCAAACATACGCCAAAAACCTGGCTTTGAGACATCGCATGTGTGTGATTGATTCAACATTGATGCCAAACTGAACTCAGCAATACGAGATGGCCGTTACAAAGAGGATTTGCTCCGGGTCACCCAGGTAAGGTCGCTTGCGCATCACCGTGATCTGTCAAGCCAGTTTGAGTGAGGTATTTCAAAATCTCAGTTAGTTGTTGCATGGTGTCAATTCATGACAAAATGGAGGCATACCCCCAATATTTTTTCCAAGATGCCACCCCTAATTTTTGTCCCACGCTCTTGGCAAGGATCTGGGATATCCCATTCGAAATGGCTGGGTGTAATGAAACATCATGCAGCATCAGGACCATTCCTAAAGAGATGATCACACGCCCTTGCGTCATGCACAGGGATAGTTAAATGTAGGCTATGTATCTCTCTGTATTGTGCATGCACTTATGTATCTATTATTTTGGAATAAATACAAAAATCAAGTGATGATGGTTTGATTAGCATTTTGAAAAGTGCCTACTCACCACTGTCCAAGTTATTGTAGGCTTCACCACTACAGAGGCACATTGTAGTCTAATTAAAACAGCAATTATTATAGATTGTATTAAATCAACACCTGCTGTACAGTATATTTAGCCTAAATCGATCCTAAGTGGGAGAGAAGTAGCCTACTGTATTTAGAAAATAGGCTAGGTAAGAAGCCTATAGGCCTATTCATTGTTGTGTTTTTAGAATATTTCATTTTAGTTTCTCTCAATAAGATGCCATGTACAACAGACACCGGTATAGAAGACATAGCCAGAATACCCCGCATTATTCATTAGATTAATGTATGACGATTTCAATACAAAATAATGACGCGTTAATTGCCTTAAAATAATGATAGTCTACTAAAATATTTTTTCATTCTGAGCATGAACATTTTTTATTTGATTTACTAGTTCATTATTTTTGCCCTGATCCACCATTTCACAATTCGTAAGAACTACTAGACAGACTAGTTTGTGACTCACAGGTGCGCTGCTACTTTTTCTTGGTGCAATTTCAAATACCGGGCGTGTGCTTCTTGCAAGGTTGGCAACAGGAGTTGATGATAGGCTAAGCCGGGAGAGGAAGCGCTGGGGAGGGTTGTTGTGTTGGTTTCTTCCTGGAGTTTGCTGTTACCGAAAAGTCTCTTGGTTGCCTGCATTTCTCGTAGACTTTTCTAAATAGGGCCACACGACAATTTTCTGTGCGTAGGCCTACCTGTCGACAGGTAAGAATTTTCACGTAATAAACTTGTCGACAGGTTTCTTTTAGAGAGCCACAGAGTTGATATATTGCTACAGTTCAGTTGGCAACCAACATACTGCATTTTCATACCAGGAATATAACTTCAACCTATTGCCAGAAACGTTAACTGCAGGCGCATCACCGTAACTTCCACATAAGTTTTAGCGTTAAGATCACAAATACAGGTAGTACGGGTTGTAAATAAAATCCAGGAAGGGGGATTAAGTTGTAACAAGAGAGTAGGATCTATGATTAGAGGCAATGGGCCAAAGTATATTTTAATATGACAACATACTGTAGGCTTAGGCTACCATAGCTCTCGAAAACCCTTCTCCGTATGTAGGGTTTTCAGCTGTTGCATTCGCCCACTGTTGACTTCATGTGAACTACAATTCCGACAGTGTTTTAATGTTTAGAACGTTAATCATCGCGTTCAAACCGGGTTTAGAAACATGCTGATATGCCCCTTATCTTTCATATCAGCAATAAATAATATTTCAAATAAAGATATACTTACTGTAGCAGTTTTGCACAGATCCACAGGCTGTGTGTGCCTCCATTTGTAGAACTACACTTTCTCCCCAGTTACCCTTATACACAGGTGTTCAGAACAAACTAGATAGCTAATTAGCACAGGCCTTCCGTCTGTCTTTCGTAAACAAGCGATGCAACATGGAGATATGTCCTTGTAGGAACCCTAACCCTATAAAGGTGTGGTGTCATTTAACTTTTTATTATTATTATTATGATTTCTCACTGATATGAAAGATACATTCGTTATGTTTTCAAACCCCTACTGCAAGCGATGCGTTTTAACGATCAGATCTAGGGCCAGGGATCTTAACAAAACGCCCCTGACCAGAAGATACTATCGTCAATAGGCGCTAAAGCAGTTAGCATCTATGAATTGGGTAAGGCTACAGTACATGTTGTACAGCAGCCTATACATACAGTGTAAAATGTAGCTATCAGCATTCACTCTCCTCACACATACGTTTTAACAGTTAAGAAGTCTCGATTTTCAGACTTCCCCATTTGGCCCCTTTTAACTGAGGGAGAGTCTCTGGCATTTTCCTGCATAATTCTAGCCCTGATAACAATGACACACAGCACCCTCATTGTTCCTGAACTCAGTTGGCCACAGATCTGATAATACATTTGTTCCTATTTGCTCCTACTGTGGTTCAGTTGAGCGTAGGAGAAAATTATAGGCCATTATGGAAACAGCTCTGAATGTAGCTAAGAGTTGTTGAAATTGTGAGGTTTTTCAGTGAATTCAAGTCTACAGGGTATCGGTTGCTTTCATTTCAGGTTGTGCTTTACTTTAAATTCTGAAATGATGGCTGAAGGTTTCTTAGCTCTGTCCTATTTGATTACAATAATTCCCTTGCACACCACTGATATAATCTCCTGCACTTGATTGCAGCAAAAGGAATGTAATACAAAGTCTTTATAATCTTGGGTTTGGCTGTTTGATTATATTATTTATTTAGAGAGTGAAGTATTGCCCCTTCAATGTTGATTGTTCCAAATACAAACAGTGCAGGTGTTACAGGATTGAATTACAGTATATGCATATCTACATAATTCATCTGAAAGCAATGCTACACTATTCTGCATTTCAATTTCCCTACTAGGCAACTCTGTTTTTCTATGCGCCTTTGTGATGTAATAAGTCCATAGAATTAGAATTAAGATTCTAATTCCATGTGCAAGTCTCTCCATGAGAAAGTGATGTAATTTCCTGTGTATGTATTTTGTGTGAACAGACAGGAGCATGTGGACATCCTGTTGTAGCTGGTCCTGTTTGGAACCCACCGCCACAGTGGATGAAAACGGCAGCTCATGGCGCCAGGCCTACACAAACTCGGGCAACAGCCAATCCCCGACCTCTCCCGAACATTTGTGCAAGGCCTGCGGGGGCCATTTTGACACCATCGCTATAAAGGTAAGAGGCACTGAACCAATGGGTAAAACCCTGATTAATATTGTAAAGGAGGGCCGGCTGGCCAGCTCTCGTCTGGAATGTGGGTAGCAGAGTGAGACTTGAAACTCTGGAACAGCATAGACCCAAGAGGATTTGATAAAGATGTGCTGCTACAGACTCCAAAGTAACAGATTTCCTTGTCAACAGAGTTACTAGAATTTAGACTTCTATGATTCACAGATTCACGATATCAGTAACTGGGCCTGTACTAGTCAGTCTTAAAACACAGTGATGCTCACATTCTGGAATGTGCAATACAGCAGTGGACTACACTTCTAGAATAGAGACTGTATTTCTGAGTCAATCAAAGCAGGAAGTTGAGGGCTGTTTAAATCACTAGCAAATGTAGGTTGGGGATTTCTCCTCCAACAGGCCTTGCCCTCCTGACATGTTTGCCTGCCAGTTGCCAAACACAAGCTCACCTGCAAAGTAAACAACAGCCACGTGTTTAATTGCCTGTTATATAACTTATTACTGTACTTACATCTAGGGCAGTCCCGGACTGAAAAAAATCTTGGTCGACCGAAAGCCGTCTGTTCTTTTGACCAATCGATTGGTCGAAATTTTGAAAGGTGTATTTTTCGATATGTATACACACCCTATGTGTTTTAATAAAATCAACTATATGCTTGTCTGATGCTGTTTGATGAAATCAGACACAAATTACTCAAGAGGGAGCCAGAGATCAAGATAACCAGAAGAGAAAAACCTGACCGACCATCCTCCTCCTGCTGGCTTTTGCAGATTCTGCCGTTACTCTCCTGAAGTTGCCGGTAATAGGCTACACGAGGAGTCAGCAATCTTTCTCATGTGGAATGCCAATTTATCTTACAATTTCTACCGATCTGCGTGCCACTTATGGTATTCATATGCAGCTTTTCGTGGAACAGTTTAATTGAATTTATAATAACACTTTCGAATCTCAAAATCATTGTCATGTGGTTAATCAAAATTCTATCAAAATCTAAATGAAAATGATAAACCTAAAAAGTATTGCCATTGCCAAATAAGTAAAAATAGCCTACATAAAGCCAACAAATAAAAACATTGCAGCCTGCAGGTAGAAAATATCCTGATAAAAATAAATATCCTATACAGTGCCTTGCAAAAGTATTCATCCTCCTTGGCGTTTTTTCTATTTTGTTGCATTACAACCTGTAATTTAAATGGATTTTTATTTGGATTTCATGTAATGGACATACACAAAATAGTCCAAATTGGTGAAGTGAAATGAAAAAAATAACTTGTTTCAAAAAAAGAAATAAAGGAAAAGTGGTGCGTGCATATGTATTCACCTCCTTTGCTATGAAGACCAAAGAGCTCTCCAAACAGGTCAGGGACAAAGTTGTGGAGAAGTACAGATCAGGGTTGGGTTATAAAAAAATATCTTAAACTTTGAACATCCCACGGAGCACCATTTTAAATCCATTATAATTTTTTTGGAAAGAATATGGCACCACAACAAACCTGCCAAGAGAGGGCTGCCCACCAAAACTCATGGACCAGGCAAGGAGGGCATTCATCAGAGAGTCAACAAAGAGACCAAAGATAACCCTGAAGGAGCTGCAAAGCTCCACAGCGGAGATTGGCGTATCTGTCCATAGGACCACTTTAAGCCGTACACTCCACAGAGCTGGGCTTTACGGAAGAGTGACCAGAAAAAAGCCATTGCTTAAAGAAAGAAATAAGCAAACACGTTTGGTGTTCGCCAAAAGGCATGTGGGAGACTCCCCAAACATATGGAAGAAGGTACTCTGGTCAGATGAGACTAAAATTGAGCTTTTTGGCCATCAAGGAAAACGCTATGTCTGGCGCAAACCCAACACCTCTCATCACCCCGAGAACACCATCACAACAGTGAAGCATGGTGGTGGCAGCATCATGCTGTGGGGATGTTTTTCATCGGCAGGGACTGGGAAACTGGTCAGAATTGAAGTAATGATGGATGGTGCTAAATACAGGGAAATTCTTGAGGGAAACCTGTTTCAGTCTTCCAGAGATTTGAGACTGGGACGGAGGTTCACCTTCCAGCAGGACAATGACCCTAAGCATACTGTTAAAGCAACACTTGAGTGGTTTAAGGGGAAACATTTAAATGTCTTGGAATGGTCTAGTCAAAGCCCAGACCTCAATTCAATTGAGAATCTGTGGTATGACTTAAAGATTGCTGTACACCAGCGGAACCCATCCAACTTGAAGGAACTAGAGCAGTTTTGCCTTGAAGAATGGGCCAAGCTTATAGAGACATACCCCAAGAGACTTGCAGCTGTAATTGCTGCAAAAGGTGGCTCTACAAAGTATTGACTTTGGGGGGGGGGGGGTGAATAGTTAAGCACGCTCAAGTTCTCTGTTTTTTTGTCTTATTTCTTGTTTGTTTCACAATAAATAAATAAATATTTTGCATCTTATATTTTAATTCTAGGTTGTAAGGCAACAAAATATGGAAAAATGCCAAGGGGGGTGAATCCTTTCGCAAGCCACTGTAAATCACATTGGCTACACATGGCCTGTCTGCAACGAACTTGAAACATTGTATCAACTATCAACTTGGGTCCAGCCCGAAGCTCATGCTAGCAAACTTGCAACATTGTATAAAATATTTTGGGCCTTCAGAATTTCCTGCACCAGTGAGCTCGGGACAGACACAGCTGTCAGCTATTTTGTGCAAGGGATAAGAACTCATCAGGTAGACCTATTTTATGACGTTTCCACTCGATCAGAGCATGTCATTTTTCCCTTTCATGCCAAGGGGTTATCAAAAGGGAGAGCTGGAAAGATTTTTGAAATACATTGAGGAACTATTGTCATTCTCAATGGATTTAAAAACAGACTTCGTTTGCTTGCTGTTTGAGGTGAAGAAAACATTACTTTGAGTAGCTCCACAGCTCATTAGTGGTGGTGCGTTAAGCCAATCAGAAATACTATCACATCCCCAAATGGGAACACTTCTATGCCTACATTTGCTTGCAGTCCAGGCAGCCTATAGGCCTACTTCTATGTGTAATCAGGTGTGCGTCCTTACTCAACATTGACAGTAGCGCTCCAAACAAAAGACAGACTAAATTGACAAAACTCGTAAATGGAATGAAATAAACCAAAACTTGTTTCTCACAAGTGTAGCATAGGTTGTGGGTTCTGCAAACAACGTGTCCACTCTGACAATGAGAACAGTAAAAGACTGGAATAATAATATATTGAATGCATTAACAGAAATTACCATAACCAAACAAACATTGTAGATTAGGAATTAATGGTAAATGTAGGCTACTACTGGTGATATATGTCATGGGGAATTGATAGACACTAACAATCAAGGCAAACAATTCACTCAATTAAGTTATGAAACAATGAATGTGCACAAATTGGCAGGGAGAGTGCATTCTGGAGAGAGACGTGCATTTTAGCCACGCTCCCCTTCTTCTTGGACTGTGCCATCGACGCGGCCTCCGCAATGGAATAGTCTCAGTGTCACGTTCGTTTTTATAGATAGGAAGGACCAAGGCGCAGCGTGATATGCGTACATGTTTATTTATATAGAATAAACACCACAACGACAAAATAACAAATGAAACGAAACGTGAAGTCCAAGGTAGCATACAAACAACATACCTACACGGAACAAGATCCCACAACCCACTAGTGCCAATAGGCTGCCTAAGTATGGTCCCCAATCAGAGACAACGAGCTACAGCTGCCTCTGATTGGGAACCATCCCGGCCAACATAGATCTACACATTCTAGATCTAAACATAGAAAATCAACATAGCAAAACACAACACAGAAAATACACACCCTGACTCAACAAATACGAGTCCCCTGAGTCAGGGCGTGACACTCAGCCTCCGCAATGGATTAGTGTCAGCCTCCGCAATGGATTAGTTCACTGAGATGGGCGCGAATCAGACAGGTGTCTCGTGTGCAATAAAATGTTTTATATATATACACTACCGGTCAAACGTTTTAGAATACCAAGTCCATATTATGGTAAGAACAGCTCAAATAAGCAAAGAGAAACGACGGTCCATCATTACTTTAAGACATGAAGGTCAGTCAATATGGAACATTTCAAGAACTTTTACAGTTTCTTCAAGTGCAGTCGCAAAAACCATCAAGCACTATGATGAAACTGGCTCTCATGAGGACCGCCACAGGAATGGAAGACCCAGAGTTACCTCTGCTGCAGAGGATAAGTTCATTAGAGTTACCAGCCTCAGAAATTGCAGGCCCAAATAAATGCTTCACAGAGTTCAAGTAACAGACACATCTCAACATCAACTGTTCAGAGGAGACTGTGTGAATCAGGCCTCCATGGTCGATTTGCTGCAAAGAAACCACTACTAAAGGACACCAATAAGAAGAAGAGACTTGCTTGTTGGTGTTGGTGAACGGATGATCTCTGCATGTGTATTTCCCACCGTATAGCATGGAGGAGGAGATGTTATGGTGTGGGGGTGCTTTGCAGGTGACACTGTCTGTGACTTATTTAGAATTCAAGGCTCACTAAACCAGCATGGCTACCACAGCGTTCTGCAGCGATATGCCATCCCATCTGGTTTGGGCTTAGTGGGACTATCATTTGTTTTTCAACAGGACAATGACCCAACACACCTCCAGGCTGTGGTAAGGGCTATTTTACCAAGAAGGAGAGTGATTGAGTGCTGCATCAGATGACCTGGCCTCCACAATCCCCCGACCTCAACCAAATTGAGATGGTTTGGGATGAATCGGACCGCAGAGTGAAAGAAAAGCAGCCAACAAGTGCTCAGCATATGTGGGAACTCCTTCAAGACTGTTGGAAAAGCATTCCAGGTGAAGCTGGTTGAGAGAATGCAAAGGGTGGCTACTTTGAAGCGTACCAAATATAAAATATATATTGATTTGTTTAACACTTTTGGTTACTACATGATTCCATATGTGTTATTCATAGTTTTGATGTCTTCACTATTATTCTACAATGTAGAAAATATTACAAATAAAGAAAAACCCTTGAATGAGTAGGTGTTCTAAAACTTTTGACCGGTAGTGTATTTGCTACTGCTTGACAAAAAAAAATCTATCGACCAAATAATCGGCCAGTCGACTAATTGGGGTCAGCCCTACTTACATCACCAGTTTACATGGAACTGCCAGTTTACATGGAAGTAAGATCTCATCTTTGCTATACATTTGCCAAGAGCTGTGGGCCAGAGGTTACAATTATTTCTGTGAGAAGTGTTTGAATAAGTTTTAGTACAGTATAGATGCGGTAAAGAGGTCATTGGAACGCAGACCGTGGGGGATAGGAGGACGCCAGATTGGCATACATTCAACAAATCTGATCTGACAAAGTGAATATTCGTCAAATCCGTCAAGATTGATGGATTGTAACAGGCCCATAATGTGGTTACTAAAGTCCGATTTGGATATGTTGGCTGTTTTTGCTGCATAACATTTAGAAGTAGTCCATTTTCAGGTTTAGAAGAAGTGACTGGTAAATGCTAACTCCCGTTCGTATAAGCTGGTAGCATAGCTAGCATAGAGAAATTGGTGGTGGTAGTCAAAGTCGTATTTAACTGTAATGCAGTTGATTGGTGACGATGACATGAACATTTTATTGAGGTTGACAACCATACAAGCATTGTACTCTGATTTTTGACTCAACATAGTGTGAAATACACATACTGTATAAACAATAGCCTAAATGGAGGCTAATTTTGTTGGGGGGCAATGAGGAGATTCCGGATCTTTCCCCCATGCGTTTCCATGGCATTTCCATTGTTTTGGTCGAGTTCCGTTGACCTCTTTACCGCGTCTATGGCTAACACTTTTGATTCAACTTCTCAACAATAAGGTTCTAGTCTAGTGCTCAGCTGGAACAAAAGCCTGTGCGGTGTACACACACTGAGTGTTATTCTGTCGCAACCCTTAATGTGACCGTTCATTCCTTGGTAAGAGTTTCACCCTCACCGTGTCTTGTCCTCCCCTCTCTCTACCCCAGCATGTCTGTGTGGACTGCAAGAAGAACTTCTGTGGCCGCTGCTCGGTGCAGCTGGAGCCGCCACGCCCGCGCCTCTGCCACACATGTCAGCGCTTTCATGGAACCCTCTTCGACCGCGCCCAGTTGATGCGACTCAAGGTGTGCCGCTGCTCTTTTTTTGTGTATATAAAAAAAAATAGCCAAATAAGGACAAATGCATTAGGTTAAGCTACATGTCAAACTATATATATTGTAGCTAAGTCAGGTGAAAGCTGAAGCAGTAACACTTTTCATTCTGTTACTCTTATATCTGTGTAATAACACTTTAATTACTCTAGTTACTAAATTGTATTAAGATGTTGTCAAGATGACATGATGTTGTTACGTAAGTACTTTAGTAACTGCATTATACGTATAGTAATATAGTTGAGCTTTTTTTGTAATTACACAAGGAGTAGGAAAAATGTAAATAGTGTGCGTCAGATGAAATTCAACAATAACCCCAACAACTAGGTGCGGGAGCTGCGCGACTACCTCCACCTGCACGAGGTGCCCACCCAGACGTGCAGAGAAAAGGAGGAGCTGGTTGAGCTGGTCCTGGGCCAGCAGACCCCCAGCACGAGCAGAAGCAGTGAGACTGTATCCTCCCAGCCCGGGGCTCACAACAACATCCCCTCCTCAGACACACCGTCCCCTCCCCAGACACAGGGCCCTACTAGCCCCGACACATTGAGCCCAGAGCAGCCAGAACAATCAGCCCCTGAGGCAGAGCCGGAGTCAGAGCAGATCTCTGAGGAGGAGGATGATGAAGAAGAAGAGGAGGATGATGATGAAGAGGTAAACTCTAAGTTCAAGGTTTTGGAATAGATTTAATCAGTAGCTGTTCGATGGATGGATGCTTATGACCACCAAGGGGATAATGTCAGACAGCAGCAGAGACAGACGCAAAGACCAGACAAAATACAATGTTATTATGATTCATCAAGTTGTCCCTGTTTTTAATTTAGCAAACCACTGTTGTTGACAAACTCAAAGACGCAACAAAATATACACTGGCCAAACAAAAGTAAAACCAGACAAAATTCAAATTATTATTCTGACCCACCTCTATTGTTGTCCTGTTCCTGCAGTCATCGGACAGCGAGGAGACCCTGATGCCCGGCCGCAGGGCCTCTCTGTCTGACCTGAGCCGCGTGGAGGACATCGAGGGCCTGAGCGTGCGCCAGCTTAAGGAGATCTTGGCCCGCAACTTTGTAAACTACAAAGGCTGCTGCGAGAAGTGGGAGCTGATGGAGAGGGTCACCCGCCTCTACAATGACCAGAAGGACCTCCAGAACCTAGGTGAGCATTTCCAGGATGTGGTCCTGTGAGGCTCATTTGGTAAAAGCGCTAGCAATCCCAGGGAAGTGGATGCGATTTCCTGCTGGGGTCACATGTATTAAAAAGTATGCACTCACTGTAGGCTACTGTAAGTGTCTGCTAAATGGCGTATACTGTATTATATCTGGGGATGACTGATTTGTTGTTTCTTTTTTCCAGTTTCAAATACAAAAAATGAAGAAGGTAAGGGTCTTGTTTCAAGTTCAAAATACAAGAGAATCGTGATCAACAGCATTTTACTGCCAAAGGGCTTGAACACAATTTGAGAAACACTTGAAGTTCATGTAAATCAAGCACTGATCCGAAGTAAAAATGTGGTCCCACAATGCTGAAATGTATCCCGTTATGGGCAACCTGCCAAATATGAAACAATGAAAAATGACCCAAATAGAGTTATTTAGAACCCACTCAATAGAGACCTCTCCTCTTTCCCCTGTCGTTGTGCCATAGACCCAGCGGCTCCCAAGAGCCAGGAGGAGAACATCTGTCGGATCTGCATGGACTCTCCCATTGACTGTGTGCTGCTGGAGTGCGGCCACATGGTCACCTGCAGCAAGTGTGGCAAGCGCATGAGCGAGTGCCCCATCTGCAGGCAGTACGTGGTACGGGCGGTGCACGTCTTCAGGTCCTGATGCATGGCCACAAGGAGGGACACAGTGGACAAAGGACAAAATGGCATTGCTGCCACTACTGCTCAGAGATGGTATATCTTACAAGAATACACTCTATAATGCACACTCTCACTCATTCAATCAGTCTTCCTCTTACTGGCATTCCAGAGAAATAACATGTCTCCACTTTTCTGGGTTCTCTGTTTTTCTACTCCACCTGAACCTATTATTTCTGCACTATCAGCATTTTACAAGAACTCAATATTTCAGTACAATAACTTTGTTGTTCAAAAGAGTTAGGTATCATGTATTCACATTGGTGCCAGTCAAACACCAAACTATATTGGCACTTTGCATGGGAGGGCAGCAGTACCTTTTCAAATACTGAGGTTATTGGGTAGAGATCATGTTTCTTTCAACCCCACACACAGGCAAGGTTATATTGCATTTTTCTGTCTTTGCATTTGTGTGCATGGAGAAACACAACTAAGTTCCATAGCTGAGAAACAGAGGGCCTTACTAGAGAGGGCATCGAATAACAAGCAATGTGCTCACTCAAAAGTATTTGTTCTAGCAATGAATGAAATGCTGAATCCTGGTAAGAGAGGGAACATGTTAGGCTACTCTGTTCATATCAATAGCAAAACAGACAGAGTGGCCAGAATGGTGCTATTTGACCAGTGATGAACAACACTCATAACAAAACAGAGAGAATGGCCAAAATGGTGCTACTTGACCAATGGTAAGCAACACTCAGGGCCCCATTTTGACCTTGCAAATAAGCGGCATTAGTGTGTGTAATTTGTGCATTAGGTGCCGCACGGAATACTTGAAGTGATAAGGTCTGTTTTGCGCCCTCCAATTGTCACACTCCGAGTTCAGTACCTGCAACCCAGCTGTTCTTTTAATTGGTTTTGTGGTCCAGAGAGCTATCTTGAGGTTGCAGTGCACTTGCTAAGCATAGAACCCAGGCCTTATCTGTCTTATTGGCTATCCTTCAGACACAGAGCTGTGTGATGGTTTAAACACAAGTGTCTGCTTGTAGCTCACTGAAAGTATTTGAGGAGGGTCAAGGAGGGGATAATGCTTGGTTTAATTCGCCCTTTTATGGTCAAACTACTCTTTAACTTGCAGATATTGTATAAAAACAGGAACAGAACACATATTGACTTGACAGTAATAGACAGTTAATAGTTCTGTAAATGAGCCACAATGGGGACATTTTCTGAAATGTAAACCATACATAGTAGATATGCATTTTTTAAAATTCTCTGTATATCATAAATTGTTTGCTGTTGTTTGAAGTTGGTTCCATGACCTTACCCCAAATTAGGTTTGGGGTGAAGAGAACTGACCTCGTTTAGCAGAATGTCTCCATTCCAAGGCTCTCACAACCTCTCTCTTATCAGCAAGTGCCCCAGAACAGAGTGCTCATTGACTTAGCTGACGTAGTGTACTGAATGCACTCATTTCCTAATGGCAAGTTGATGAACTGTTTTAACTACTAGTTTATCAGAACATCACAGTTTTCTGCAAATTTACTTTGTTTGTGGGGGTGTTTTTAAAGCTAGAATCCTTAATTGAACCAATAACAAAGCGACACCCTGCCTCTGTTTCAGTATAAAGCTGAGGGATGGGCCTGGAGAAATGTAACCACTCTCAGATTCATAGACAGAGCTAAGGACTGACCATCCATGATATCAAAGTTATAGTTTTAACCATGTTTTGAGGCTATACAGTGTTTGTTTACATTTACATTGTTTACAAACATTGAAGTAAAACAAGCTTATATTTTGGGTTCTCATGGGGTACGACAAGTTAAACTAAGCTCATGAAGCATTTATAAGTTATATTCTTCAAGAATCAATGGGTATATAATATTCATTAAATGGATGTAGCAACTAAGGATTCTAGCTTTAAGGAGGATCTGGGTTAATTCTATTCCAACTCTAGGCAATTCAGTAAATGGATTGAGATTGAATTTATATGAAATTAGAGGCAATTACAATGCATTTCTCAAATTGCCTGGAATTGAAATGGTTTGGCAGCCTTCTCTGCAACTAATGTTGATTGAACATGTTGTTTTAAAATCATACAGAAACATAACGGTTCACTTTTAAATGGTCTTTCTACTGTACATCTTGTTTTATAGCTAATGAATGTACCATAAAACTGCTCATATGAGGAAAATGCACTTATACTAATTCATGTGTCTGTTTTAGGGAATGCATATCTGCTGGGATAAACTCCGTTTATCCCAGATACTTGGTCTGCCTGAACTGAATGTAACTGGTTTAAGTTGTTTACAATAACAAAACCATTTCTTACTGTGACTGCCAAATTGCCAATATCGCAAATAGATTTTACACTGGTCCGTTTGATATGTCTGTTGTCAATAACTATGCTAATATCATGCAAGAACAATATGAATCATCTCACATGTGTAGTTTGCAGAGAGCAGGTGAAATAAGATATGTCAGTGTCGTGAGACTAGATCTGGATCTTTTCACAAACATCTCGTCACCCATCTTGTTTTTACCCTGTACATCAGTTTATACAAGCCAGGCCATCAGTCAAGTCACTCCTTCTCTCTGAGGAGTGTTTTCTGTGCATGTGAAAACGTGTGCATACATTTAGCTAAACCCAACCCAAGATCTAAACATTCCATACAATAGAATTTACCTTAACAGAACACTCTTCAACAAAGAAAGCTCATATTTTCCACATAGGTAGTAATGCTGCTTGAGTACCTGATTTTAAAGGCAAGGTCTGTTAAAGGTCCAATGCAGACGTGTTTTATTTATCAAAGAATTTCTGGGTAACAATTTAAGGACCTGACTGATTGTTTTCATTTAAAATTGTCGAAAATAAACAAAAATAGCTTTTTAGCATAGAGCAATATCTCAAGCAAGAATTTTGCTAGGACTGTCTGGGAGTGGTTTTGTGTGGGGAGGGGGAAACTGAAAATGTTTTATTATTGGCAGAGGTTTGGAACTATTAACTAATTTGCCCCATGGTGATGACACCATAGAAGGCCAAAACTCCCACAATAACAGGCTGACATTTCAGGCAGTCTTTTCAAACAGCTCTTACACTAAAATGGCATTATTCCAACCTCAGTGTGGAAATATAGTTTTTGACTGCACTGAGCCTTTAACAGTATGTAAAATATGTAACAAACTACTAATTAGAGTATTTAAAGAAATGCCTTCTAAATAATGCCTTCTTCCTGGTGGTATTTAAATGTAAACTTGAACTTTGGCCTCAAAAGGCACAAGATATAATCTTAATATAATGCGTGTGTGGGATGTTGGTGTCCCTAGTCTACCCCGAGAGTCCTGTAGTTCTTATTGCTGTCTGAGGACCTAGATATTCATGTGAATTTGTGATTTGGTGACTTTAAAATTGAGGTAATTTGGAATACTAATCAATCTACTATTGTGAAATGTTGGACGTATTTTGAAAAATCAGACAATCTATCATATCTTTGATGCTTTAACAGTGAGTTTTATCTTTAGCAAATGCCTTGCTATGGAGAGTTGCTCTAAACACGTTTAACAAGACCTCCACCAGTTTTTAGATTAGAACAGGGAAATTAGTCTGCACTATCCCACCCCAGAGGAAAAAAGGTTCATTATTAGCATATGAAGTTAAACTTTAATGGAAATATTTGCATGCATTCTTTAAAAAAAAAAAAAGGAATACTGTCTGGCAAAAGTCAGTTTGAAAACACTTGGAATGACTCATAACTGGATAATTATTTGTTTTGTATACTCTGATTTCACTTTATGTTCAACAACTGAAAATGTATAGAATAATCCCATGCCACAGTATCATTTTAAATATTATTGAGTGTGTTGTACATTTGTCAAATTACCAGCATGGACTATTGCCTTTGTTGTAGTTTTTAAATATGTATTCAGCAGTATTGGCTAAATGAGCTAAATGCTGGATCAGTTCTTAACTACAATGGAAGCTAATAGGATTTATAAATCAGAAAAACATATATTTTTGAAAATGTATTAAACATATTGATGTTCTTGTGCATATATTTTGTTGGACATTTTTTATATTGATAAAAATATAATAAAGTACTCCAACAGACTTTGGGCTTTTCTATGACCATAGGCTATAATTAAGCCTATGAAAAAACAGAAAAATAAGAATTGTGCAAAAGGAGACGTTGACCGCTTAATGGGTTTCCGGATGTGATTGAATAATGTCAAAAGGTCAGTGATCCTTGGGACGTCCCTACCCTAAAACCGTCAACTTCAATGAGGTGACGTCCCAAGGATCCCAGATAGCAATGACCATCAGTTCACCCAAAGAGGAAGACCATAACAAAGACAGTACAGTTTGAAGAAATCCCAGATCACACTTGTAGGCAAATCACGGCGACGTTGGCAAGCTAAGCTCATGCGTAGAATCACGTCATTCGGTCTAAAGGTCGTCTCGCACCGTCTCGTACTCCAAGTTGTTTTTGACTAAAATGCAAACGTGTCAGTTTGTCATTTTCACAAGGTTGGAGTAATACCATGTTCAACTACTTAAGACATCAAATATAGGTTGTGCCTTTATATTTCGAGATAGTCATGGGATGTTACGCCTCTGGGTTTAGAAACTCTGTGACCAGAATCTCTGTTGCGCCTCACGTGGGGTGACCCTAATGACCTTCTGGCTACATTCGCCGTGGGAATTCTGTCTAGAATTCATTTATAGAATTGAATGCTAACACAGGGTAATTTAAATTTACAATCATCTTTCAATGAAAATTATGTCAGCAAGTGGACTGTCGACCAGAATTCAGCAGTTTTTGGATCCCCACGCGCACGTAACGTTACTCGAGTAAAGAGATGAATGGGAGGCTAGCCAGTGTCAGAGCCATGTAACTCATAAAAAAAAGAAACGTCCCTTTTTCAGGACCCTGTCTTTCAAAGATAATTTGTAAAAATCCAAATAACTTCACAGATCTTCATTGTAAAGGCTTTAAACACTGTTTCCCATGCTTGTTCAATGAACAA